TCGGTACTGTAGCAGCTACGACTTTGCCCCTTCAGGCATCCTACAGCTACGACTTCGGAACTGTCTAGACTCCTATTCTACAGGTCTACAGTTCGATTCCTTTCTACCCTGTGACCTACAAAACCCTGCCTACCACTGGCGGTCCTACAGGTCGCGGGTTCAAATCTACGGGTTGACATCCATACTGTACACAGGTAAGTTGGGGAACTAGGGATCGAGCCCTGGGATCTGTCTCAACTACCACGAATTGGTGAATACCGTTTCACAATACATGGCTGAATCGAAATAGCCAAATAGCCAGATGTTTCAGATGTGTTCTATAAAATAGCCCAATATCAAGGTGGTTGTATGTCCTCAATGTGGTCCTTATGTGTTTCCTCCACAGTTTATAGAGTGCCGGGCAGGGTTGCATCCCCCGACAGTCGGCGGCCCTTGAGTGGTCCGCTGCCGACCCGCCGACCGATCGGCTGGTCGGCACCTATCGGTCGGGGGTCGTCGGCACTCCGCAATTTTCTTTTTCTTTTTTTTCATTTTTATATATTTTTTTGTGCGGTCCAGAACCCCTAATAACACCACCAACACCCCCATAGCGGCCTCCAATACCCCCATACACCCCCCCAAACCAAACCGCCCCCAATACCCCCTGCACAGTACAGCCCCCAACTCAGATTTGAAAAAGAATCAGTGGATGTTTTTCTTTTTGTTTTTTCTTTTCCCCAGACTGGTCGGCAGACCGCCGACCGGTCCGCCCTACTGGTCGGCTGCAATACGGTCGGCGGTCGGGGTTGGCGGTCGGCACGGATGCAACCCCAGTGCCAGGCATAAAACGGGCACGATCGGAGAATAGCCAAATAGCCTAGGCTACCAGCCGGGCCGCCAGGGTCACCCTATTTTCCCGGGCGGCCCGGCCGTGCAAGAACCAGGGAAGGTCCCAGCAAGAAGAAATAAAAAATAAAAAAAACAAAAAAATCCGAAAAAAAATTATGTTATGCAGAAAAATAAACTGAACAACTTGTGCCTCAGGGTCACATCGAAATTCTTTACCAAATTTAAAATGAAAAATAAATTTATAAACTAATTTTTGTTTTTTTATTTTTTTATTTTTCTTTGGCCCGGCCGCGCAAGTGGTCCCGGGCCACTCTGCTAGCCTAGCAAATAGCCAAATAACCAGGTGTTCCAAATGTGTTCTATAAAATAGCCCAATATCAAGGTGTTTGTATGTCCTCAATGCAGTCCTCTTTTTTTTTTTTTCATTAAAAAGTCCAGGTTGTTGGAGAGTTTAGATAGTAGGCATATCAGAATCGCCTTTCAGCCGTTGATCTTCTTGACTGTTCCTCCTCCACCTATTCTGAGCCCTCCATCCTCCGTCTGACCTTACGACTTTTCTCCCCAGTGTGCCCTCTACTCCCCGATCGCGCCTTCCATGTGAAGGTCATCACCCAACCACCCATCCTCAATGGCGGAGTAAGACCGTAGTTGTAGACACCCGGGCTAGATAGGGCCGCCCAACCCGTCCCAGCCCACAGTGGAAGCCGAGTCGAAAGAACCTCGCCGCACGAGTACTTCGCACACCAGTCATATAACAGTAGACCATAGGCCCCATAGACAGACGTCCCCAACCCAACAAATTACACAACCAGAGGTTCTAGCCTGCACTGATCGGTTCGATGCATAGCTCGGGC